ATGATGAACACCTTGTTGGCTAGTAACTGAGAAGAAACCTGTTACAATAAAAACTATAGAGATAGGATGAAAGAGAAATATGTTGCAGCTTGATTTTCCTTTGGGGAAATAAACTACGAGACCAATGTCCAGGCCTTATCTGAACATCTCTTTTTCCATCAAGAATTGTTGTCCTGGATTTCTCTGAGGACTACAGGCATTCACCTAGGATTTTTGATATCTAATAGTTTAAACATAGCTGAGGGAAAACATCACACGCATAGTATGTTAATAGATTTTGGCCATACTGGTGTCATTTCACATACTGTCTGCAACCACAGTAAAGGACACTAGTTTTCCTTAGAGGAAACAGAGAAAACAGTAACAAGCTTGGAGTGTGTGACACCAATGCTAATCTTATCTGTGCTACTTGCAGCTTAGACACGTGCCTTTGATGTGTGCCATTGTTCAGGGTCCAATAGGTCACAGATTGGGTTACTGTTATTGCTGGGTTAGATCATTGAAAGACTTGCACAAAACACAGCAAATAACCCCACGGCTTACAAGCAGCATATTGTCCACACAAACTTCTGACTGCAGAAAATTAAAAAGTTAGAGCTGAAGATGGCTGGCCAAAACCCAATATTAATCAGCCTTTACTTGCTTGGCACTACTGCCAGGAAAAGAGCCTTTACTTGAGGCTGTCTTGCAAATTTTACAGACAGGAACATCCCATGAAACTATGTTTTCTATAGGGAACAGTTTGTTCTGTTTCAGTTGGTAATGAGAGCTGTAGTTTTGTTGGGACCTGTGTTAAGATACTTTATCCATGACAGACAAATTTATAATTACAAAAATACAAGACCGTTATTGTGCTGGTCTGTCATCATAATTAGCAATCTGTGCATATTAGCAATAAATCTCTATTATTGCATTCAAGCACTGCATTTTGATTTAAATTCACTACATCTGCTGAGCATCACAAAATTGTGGGTGTTTGGAGGGCATTTCTGGGTGATAAGTGGAAAAACAGTCAGAGAAGCTGGCTAATCCCACTCTCCTTGACTGCAGTTTGGGCTGCAGTGTGCATGGTGAAACCTTTTAGAAATTACATCATTTTTACCAAGAATTGACCTTTTCACATCAGGAAGAAAAGCTCACCATTTCCAATGATTCATCATATTTCTTCATTCCTCCTACAGCTTTTCAATTCTGGGAAGTGCTGGGGTCTCTGGTGCCAGGGCTCCTATCCACCCACTGGGGGATTTTTCTCCTGCAGTGGTTTCTGTTTCCCATTCCTCAAGTTTGAGATGATTGAGCAACCCCAGGGAATGGCTGATGCTCTCCTCTGAGGAGTCTTCCACTGCCAGCACTGCTTTCCATTGCCAGCACAGCTCTTTGCAATGGTGTCCATCAGGAATTCTGGCACACCATGGATGAGGCTGTTGGAGCACAGTCAGAACATTAAGGGTGCTGCTCCATCCACGTGCGTGGGAGCTAGGCTGTTTCCTGGTTGGACTCAGAACTGGGGACAAAGCAGCACAAAAGACTGGGTTCTGTCTCAGTATCCCTCATTAATATGTAACTCAGTAATTCTCATTAACTGGAATATCCCTGTCAATACTACCAGAGATTTAACCGAATTCGGGCAATAACAACATTCTTATCTCTGGCTAGGGATGTTTTGCAACAGACTCTACCATGGGTTCATTGACCCACTGGTGCCTCTTTGGGTTAGTCAGTGTATTATTCCTTTCAAGCTATTTAGTAAGGAGGATCGGCCTCTTAGTATATATGATTGCTGCCTTAAGCCTGTAAATGATATTGCTGTTAAGAGACCGTTTCTGAGATGCAATCTGTTTGCAAGGTTTCCTTCCTGAAGGCTTGCTCATTCTTCTGTTCTTTCTCCTGAGCTCTTCTACATAAGACAATGTCTGAGGGTCACTGTTTTGAGTATCACGGAGTCTTCACGGATTCAAAGTGTGAAGGGTAGCCCAAATAAGCCAAGTGGAAAATTCTGCCTTATACTGATAGACACTGCAGTGCTGCTGCTACATCAGGTCCCATCCAAAACCATCCAAAACTCCCCTATTTTCTAGTTTCCAGGGAGATCCAGACCCACTGCAGGATATGCTGCCAGTACACATATAAACAAAAAACACCATCTCTGAAGACTTTTCCCCATAGATTATATTACAGTGTTCAAGACCAGGCTAGATGGAGCTTTGAGCATCCTGGTCTAGTGGAAAGTGGGGTTGGAACAACATGATCTTTAAGGCCCCTTCAAATCCAAAGCATTCTATAGTTATATGAAATCAAACACAAGGCCATGTGATGGTTATCAGGGAGAAAAAAATCTTTGTTATTATTTTGTTTCGTAATACTGTGCATTTAATAATTGCAGGCTCTTGTCTGTTAAGTGCATCAAAGACTGGGGGAGCAGAAATTCTGTCGTAATAGGGTCATAGAAGTAGCTTTCCCAGCACTGTGTGGTTCTGGGAGTGCATAACATCGAGATCATCTTATCACACAGTACCTCGGATTCCTCTCGTGTTTTTGGGCAGTGCTCTTTGGGAGTGTTTACTGTGGGCCTGGGGCACAAGCAGCCCATTTATCTTGAACAAATTATAACAGAGTGATCTCTGCCAGACTGAAAGCATATTTTCAAAACCCAACCTTTTTCAAACTATATTAAGAAGCATTTCTTCTGTGCAGTGGGACAAATGCATAATTATTTTTCCTTTTATTTAGTTTTCTGTGAATTTGGGACACTTTGTATTACCTTGGGATGTTTTTTTGCTTACAGATTTTCACCAGAGCAATAGGATTTAATTTGGGACACTTTGTATTACCTTGGGAGGTTTTTTGCTTATAGATTTTCAGCAGAGCAATAGGACTTGGAAGTCTATTTGGCTGGTAGGGCATGTCTGTACAGCATTTCCAACGTGTGATCATGCATGATAAAAATGTTTGTTGGAAATGAGCTCGCTCATGTTCTGCCATGTATGTAATCCAAGCAGCACAGACTTGCCAGCCACCTGTGTTACAAAGCCATCACTTACCCCAGCACAGTTGCTGTATAAAATGTGCACCTCAGCTTCCAAAGCCACAATTTGCTTCTTAGCATTTTACTACATAACTACTGATAAGAACAATCATCTTTCTTAACTATCATGGCCAAGAACAACATATACAGATGCCTGTGTTCAAGATAAAGGCTCAGAATGTTTCACTTCTAGCCACCTACAAAGACAATGACTTCTCTGTATAAGATGGAGAGTACAGCCTGGGGAGGATGTGCTCTGTGACTTTTCTCTGCTTCCCTGGGTGTGTATATGTAGTGTTTCATATGTTGAATGAATTTCAGAGTTATTTTAAGGAAGTGGCTTATTTTCACCTTCTGAGAATCTTTCTTAATCTTCTGAGGTTAAGTAGAATGTGAAACTGAATTACCAACATTTGCCATTTGAAATTTTATTATAAGTCTCGATTTTACAGTCAACATTTTATATTACAACAGAGGAGGTACAAAAGTGAGCATGAAGACAAAATCATGACTGATAGTCAGAAATAACCTAGCCGAAAGTACAGGTGTCTGCGTTGATGCATCTAAGTAGTTACATAACAGAGTGCAAATAAAAATACATTTCACTTAATGTAAACATTATGGGTGAGGTCTTGGGTGTGGTCCAGACATGCTTGGTGCAGGCTATGACAGAGAAGAGGTTTATCTGGAGATGCTTGGAGTGACACCAGCTCCTGTAGTTCCATAAGGATGCTTTGCACTCTGGGTAGTCACTAAAACATATGGAATTATACCCTTCTGCTTGTGGGATCCTGGAAACCTCAGTCTGCCTGATGGATTGGCAGCTGCTGGCTACACTGGCATCTCAGCACCTAAGAGTGTATGTGCAGCAAAGTCTGCTCCATTCTCTTGGTGTCTATGGCTCTGCACTAAGGCACTTAGAGCTGTGGCCACAAGCTGGCCTTGGATAGTTTTTGTTACAAACACTGCACTTGAATAAGCATACAAGGCCAGTAAAATAGAAATCGAAGGAAATCAATGAAACCTGCTGTTTCAGTGTACTACAGCATGTCCATGCTTGGGAATTATACACTGCAAGGCATCACCTTTCACCTCAGAAACTGAGGTCAAGAGAGACTCCTTATTGTGGCAACCATTTGATGTTTGTTTCTATTCCAGGGAATGGCCACATTGTGGCCTGAGGGACCTTATAAGAAAGTTGGAAGGCTTGCACTTACTGCTATATTAAGAACCAAATGTAATCTGAACTGCAGTGGTGTTTGCAGTAGGATTTTAATGGGGCTAGCTGAGTCAGTCTCTCTGCTTTCTCTCCCAGCTACACACTCAGCAATTTTTACAGATGCTGGCAATCCTCTGGGTGCTTTCTGGTATTTTCTTGGCTCAGCTTAGCCATCTACGCAGCAGCTGCTTATTGTGATACCTATTAAAATGTAAGAACCACTCTGACTCTACCTGCTCAGAGGTGCCACAGTCCCTGGGAGAAACATGACTTATACCATATGCCACTGGATAATGTTCCCCTCTGGGGAATGTTGCACTGGGATGCAGGGAGAGCACAACATGCTCTGATCATTTCCCAGCCAGCCTTCCAACAGGGAGGAAGCTGAGTGCTGATCCAGGCAAGTTCTGCCTCCACTGGAAAGTCTCTTTGTTCTATGTGCATGCCCCAGGGAATCCCTGCTCTGTGCCTCTGGGGAGCTGCACAGGAGGGAGCAAACCAGGACAAAGCACCTGTCCCCAATTGCTGAACATGGCCCTGGCCCTTCTGAAATCGTATATTTGTGTGCATGTGTGTACAGTATCACACCTTAAGAATCATCTCCTGCTATTTGGCTGTTAGTATCACAGCAAGGATTTCTGGTTATGGACTTGGTACACATCATGCTGCTACTTATCACTCAAAGCTATGTAGCCACATCTTTTCCAGCTTTACACACAAATAAGGAAATTCTTCAGGAATGCGGAGAACTCCATTTCATGGAATTGCTGAGCTGTTGGTGCAAAGTCTGCAGTCTGTGTGGTCAGGGTTACGCACACACTGAAGGAGCTGAACTGGTCTGAGATAAGACACAGAAACAAACAAGTGTTTAGTAATCCTTTTGCAAGTACAACAGAAAAACTTGACAATTTCTAAATGCAATGTGAAAGCCAAAGTGCATGTTACACCTGTGCTTATCAAGTGGATATCTTTTCTTAGGGTAATTCTTTTCAATCTCGCTACACAAAGGTATCTTTGGTGTTTATAGGGCAAGAGCAAGTCAAGGCAAAACAAAGTAGGATCTGACCTCACAGTATGTCAGCTATGCTGCCATATCAAAAACAATTATGAAAAAGAAATAAGGTCTCTTGCACAGGCTGTGGATTTGCTGCCATGCTGGAAGTTCACCACCTGACTGACTCACTGGTAACCCCTACTGCTGCAGCATGAAGCTGTTGCCAGCAATGTCAGTTATGATCAGAGTTTTTGCTAATACATCCAATAAATCTCTTTTTTCTTTTAGTTACTTCTGGAAGATGCTGTTGACATGGACAAAAGCAAGAGAAAACAATCAGCATCAGTTGCTATGTGGCATGAAAAGCCAGATGGTCAGTTGATATGGACCCACATAGTTCTGTTTGCAATAGCTTCAGGGGCATGAAGCTAACTGACACAGTCTATCCTGAAGTTTTACTGTACCTGTAAATTGCTTATTTTTTATTGCTCTGTATATAAAATAGTAAATTAATTGTCCATGTTGCTCTACACAGTTCATGTATGTGTTAGTTGAGCTCTGACAAAAAGGCCTACTTGTAACTTTACCCTAAGAAGTGAGTTGTGACACAGCAATGAGTGTGTCAGGCTTCTGCTTGTGCTAAGCCATGAGGGAACTAAGCTACTATATATTTCCCCTTCTGCTCTGGCCCCTTATCTTATACCATCATAGGCTGAAATAACCTGTACCTACTTACAGGTCCTGGGAGCGTTGGTTAAAGGCTTCATTTACCCAAAGAGAAAGCAAGCATATGATTTGGCAGATTTATGCACCACATCTGTGTTAATTTTTTTCACAGTGTGCAGAGCACCCATTGATCAGGTTCAGCAATACCCAAACAGGAACATATTGCTCTGCCTTCAGGATTAAAGTCCTATAATTTGTCTCCTTTGCAGACCAATTTTTCCTTGCTTGAAACTAATGTCACAAACTCAGTAGTTTCTAGAAATGTGTGTTTACTTTGGAAATGTTCTTATCCAAGTATGAGTCCTTGACACTGAAAAGCTGTTCCTGACAGATAAGATATGAGTAATATTGTATCTTTGCTGCTTTTCTAATGTCTCTAAAGAACAATTTTGCTCTGTGTGAAGGTCTCTGAACCCACACAGAGGGATAAGAGTATCAGACTTATGTATTCCTCAGCAGACAGATGGAGATTTCAGACAAGTCAGTCAGGTCATGGACTGTTGTTTCCCAGACTCCTGTTTTTTTCTCCTGACAATGGTGAATTATAGTAATTAGTAATGCTTATCAATGTTTCTTGCCTCACCCTCTGTGAAAGCAGCTGGACAGAAAGCAAGCTCAAACTATAGTGAAGGAAATAAGGACCATACTTGGCATTCTACATTATCTATATGCTGCAGGGAGGAAAGATGCCTGTTTGGTTCAGATTACTTTAGGTAAAAGCCCAGTTAGATGAAAATCTGGAGACTGAATTGGTTCTTCCCTGAAGGCAAGCAAACATGCTCAATGGGAAGTGAAGATCCAGCCAAGACCAGGGCTACAGCCCAGCTGAAAGCCCTTGAGAAAGACACAGCCACACCAGAGGGATATCATGGCAGTAAGGGGGAAGTCTGCTGCAGCCTGCTGCAAACCTCTCAAGAGGTAGGTACATTATTGGTTTTATGTTCACAAGTTGTCACCAATAAGAATGGGTAATTACCTGTAATTGTCTTCACAAGTAAACTTAAAGTTTCGCTCTTCTAAGATGCTTTTTAACCTCTTAATGGAATCACCCGAACAGGATTCACTGTAGAGAGAAGACTTTAATTACTTGAGTTCCTTGTGTACAAAAAGCTCAGCTAGATTCCACACTGTGTCACTGCTTTATTTCAGGTAAGAGTCTTTAAAAGCCTCTTTGCTAGTGTGCTGTAGAGTCTACTGAGTTTTAAGAGCTTTGGTTACCATTGGGTCTTTGCTGGTAGAAACTCTGTGATGTTCAGCTGTGCATCTTTCATGAACACTTTGTGCAGGAAGACAACTGTGGGAAATAATTCAGTTCCATTCACAGTTAAGCGTGCCCTAGAACTGCTCCAGAGCTGCTGGTGGCTTCCATCCACAGGAGCACAATACAAGGCTCATTCAAATCTGTAGAAGGACAAAAGGATCAAGTCCTCTGTGTGATGAGCAAACCTTACCTTTGAGGTCCACCAATGTCATGCATAAGCCAAATGTGTACTTCAGAGACTTTATGTGGGTTCAGGTTAAAGACCTCAATACTTCCAAAGATGCTGTAAGAATGGGAGATGAAACAGCAAAACATTCTTAGTTATTTGAGAAAGGTGGACAGAGTATACTGTCCAAATACTAGTGCTTATTAATGCTGCTATTATTACAGAATCACAGAATCAGTTAGGTTGGAAGGGACCACAGTGGGTCGTGTGTCCAACTTCCCTACCCAAGCAGGGTCACCCTAGAGCACATGGCTCCATGACCTCTCTCAGTGAAAGAACATTATCTTGTCAATGGATTTGCACAGTCTGATGGGGTGGAATCCAGTCAGTGCCATGAAGACTTAGAAATGTGTCATTTGAGTGAATTGAATAAATAAACTGCAATAATAAAATTATTTTGTGCAGTAAGAGCACACTGGATAACCCACCCACATACCCTCTGAAGGATTTCAGTTACAGTCACTGTACAGAAGGAGTTAAGTGAATCAGTTCTACAACAGCCAGTGGTTTAGACCCCTATCTGAGTTTATCAAAATCCATCCTACACTGGCACTCACTGGCAAAGATATGCTGACCAGCATGCAGGCCCCACAGAACTATGGATGGCTGCATGCTGAGTGAATACCTGCTGCTCCTGAAAGCTCCAGCTTCTATTGATCCATTGAGCATCACTTGAACCACACCACATGCTGCCTCTGCAAACTGAACAAAACCAATGAACATCATACTCTGACACTATGTGCAGTGCCACGTCAGACTTGGGGTGGTAGAAATCACTCTAATATCATTATGTCTAGTACAAGTAGAGGATCTGGCCAACATAATTGCAGAACACACCAGTGCAAAGAAAAAGCCTCTGAAGGCTATGGCAAAACTGTGAAGTTTCATTAGCCAGCTATGAATTGGCAGTCTGAAGTTGCATGGAACTGGTACAGCAGCTTTGCTGTCACTGCTGGTTTCAGTGTTTATAAGGCTTTCCAGAGTCAGCAGCTACAGCTCTGTAGTAACTGAAAATAATCCTCAGACTGCTTTAGCTCAGGCAGTGAGGACAAGCCAAAACAGAGGTACCACTAGTTTGAGGACAAACAAACCATCATGCACTCATTTCCTTGTGACTCATGCTCTATGTTCTTTTGTGGCTTGGGATTTTTCTCCCTAGATATTTCAGTAAAACTCATCATCGAGTTTTCTTTGATTGTATTTTTAACATACTGGATCATCACAATCACTGCTCTTTTATTCTTTAAAACTCATGTCCAAATATTAAAAGACTACTAAGGTTTATGAAGTATCAACTCTAGATATATAATCCATTGGTAAGAAAGAATTTTTAAAAACCCTAATGCAGGTGACTGTACTTATCAAGTCTTCCAAGTCCTCTTAAACGATGTGGGTCAAACTCAGATCATGAGAGCTGTAAAGTTGTAGGGAAGTTGCATTATGTGTAAATTTCTAATGTAATAAGCATGGGTTGTGGCAGATCTTAAATTTATTTGGGCTAGGAAGCCTGCACTCTATGGTGATTTTATCCCTCCCAGACTCTGGAACTGGAGAGGATTAATAGGAACATAGATACTGTTTTGATATTGGAAAAAATATGTACACTAGTTTACCCACAAAACAATTTTTGGTTTTTTTATGGTGAGTAGACTTTTTCTTACACACATGAGATCTGAAGCATACAGGAATGCTTGTTTTCCACCTGGGCAGTCAAAGCAAGGGTGAAGTCCTGAGAGACATGTAAAATTAAACTAATACAGGACATTAGGTGTTTCTGTGGCAGTTTTTTTTCCCTGTAAAGTGCCACTTCAACAAAGCCAGGCTAATTGCTTAACTGTGACTAGCAGGATCTTGTTCATGTGATGGGTGTTGGCACAGGTGGGAACATTGCAGGAACCTTGCCAGGTACCAGTGTAGGAGGATATGCTCTTCAGGTTTATGTCAGGAAGGTGTAAGGGGATTCTCAGCTGCTTGGATAATTTCTGTGCCAATCTGGGCACTAGTCTCCACATTGGCATGCTAAAATGTATTTTATTGGCAAGATTTCAGTGATTTAATTAAGGTAGTGATTGTTGTACTTTTAAGCATTATTTGCAGAGCTCCAGCTGTCTGCCAAGGGTTGTTCCAGATGCTGTCACTCAGTCTCTGTTCACAAATAAGAATGCCCAAACTACAGTGACATTAAATATTGTACATAAAATATGGGACTTCAGAGACATGAATTACCAACATGATGATTTTTAGCAGCTGGAGCTAAAGCTCTTGTGAACTTCTGCTATTTCATGTTTTAAGTCTAATCTGCAAACTCAGGTTTTTTGGCAGTGTCAGGAACTTAGTGCCTTTCAGCACTCTTGGATTCAGGGGGATTTATTCTAGATCTTACCATCTTTGATGCCACTTTCCAGAACACAGAGCTGGGGTTGCTCTCACATTCACTTCGTTTTGGACAAGATTCATAGTTGATTCCTGAGGAGAAGAAATAAATTTATAGATTGGCTAAGGTTAGAATGAATATTGTTGCAATGCTTATATGGCTTTGCAAGCTGATTAACAATGACAAAAAGATTTGTTTCCTACCAAAGCAAGGAGGCTACATGAGGGCTTTAAGAGGAAAAAGAATTTGCATGTGTTCAAAGGTTTTCCTGTTTGCTCACACTCGTTTTGGGGAGACTGAGAAGGGAAAACATGTAGTCCCCAATGTGAGAGACAGGTAGGCTCTTGACAAATGCTGTCTGATTACACTGAATAATTAAACTTTGCTCAATATTTTCAGTAATCCCAGGCCAGTTTAAAGCACCAACTCAGAAGTCATGCTGGTAGCAGTATCTCCAGGGTACCCACATACTGCCCTGACAACTGGCCTATGGCCAGTTCCTTTTCAAATGACATTCCTGTTTTGCAATTTGTCCTATAGAAGTCACAAGGAGGAAGCAAGCAAATAGGTAAGGAGGGCTAGATGTGACAGTTAGTCCAAGCAGCAACATGGTGTTAGAATAACAGCTGAAGTTGTGCTTTTTAAATTAACCTGAGAAATAAGTATCATTTTCAGTCTTCCCTGTCATGGGACAGAAATATGGTTAATGTTTTAAACTAAATCACTAGCAAATAATGTGAAAAGGGTCATGTTTAAGTGTAGGTATACAAGACAAAAGAATACTCTGTAATTCCAGTGTTTGTATTTCTTTTGCAAAAAATAGGACTTATTACCTGGGGCAGAGGGGTCTCCACACCATGAAATCCTATCAGCCATATAACCCAACAGGGTGTCCTCCAGGGTAAGGAAATTTTGATTGGATTTTGTATAGCGATGAACAAGATCATGTGTCTTGCTCCAAAACAGTGACTGTGAAAAAAAGTACAACACCGAATAAGTGATAGTTATACTAGAGCTGGTCAGAAAATTTTCCTGCAGAAAACCAAAAAGTTCATTACAATGAAGTAGTTTTAGTATTTATTGAAATGCAGCAAGTTCACTTTAGTGAGTCAGTTCTTATTTACACAGCCCATGCTCCTGTTTCCAAAATATTTTTGGGTGTTTTGGAGGGGTTTTTTGTGTGGAAATGGATGTGTTCAGCTCGTGAAGCATTTTGAAAGAAAGATTTTGACTAGTTCTCATAGGATATATGCCCAATCTGTTGTTTGCTTTTGAGCTTCACATGGAGGACCAGCTTTTTGGAAGCAGTGTCCCTCTAACAGCACGATCCCATGCTCCTTACAGAGAGCCATATGCTCAGGGAACAGGGACTTCTCTGTCACTCTGACCCTGGTACTGGTTTGAGGCAAGTCTTACACAGGGATAATTCCTGGAGACAGAGAATGGACAGGGTTACTGGAGTCTGAAGGCGATAACTGCTGGACTACTGCAGTAAGAGCAAAAGCAAAATATCATCCTCATCAACCTACAGACCCTCACAATTGTTATGGAGGAGATCCCATCACTCAGAGCACTGCACAGACATGCCATCCCACCACAACCCTCCTTTTGCAGCCCACCATGCACTCTGCTGTTACCTTGTTACAGGGTATAGGGTGACTCGCTAACTCCATTAGAGGCTTATAGTCTTCTGATGTGATATTACAGGGATTCTTGTAAATGAATGCATCTTTTAATGATTCCCATATTTTTAGGCAATCCTTTTCTCTGCCAAAAGATTAAAACATTTAATTAGCATTTCTGAGTATTTGTGTCTGTGAAAGGTTCTCCTTCTGTTATGGTCAAACACTATGAATCAGGTATTAGAATTTTAACTATGCTCATGTCCTAAACCATCTTTCTCTCTTTCCTGCATTTCAAACTACTGTTTAATGCAATACCTGAATATCATCTATGTTTTTATCCCTTAAAAAGAGCAGTGCTGATATCATGTAACCAAAGGATCAATTTTCTTGATTATTCATACCAAATCATGAGAAGCAAATAGCTTCTCAGGCTATAACCTGTACATTTCAAAAGTATGACTGAAGGATACTGTCCCCTCAGGTACAGCGAGCCAAAAATATGTCCATCTGTCTCCCTGCAGAGTGTTTGACTCTACAAAAATAATACCTATAATTTTATCTAAAACAGTACCTCAGAGGGCTGTGCTGCCCTCTCGAGGGACCTGAACAGGTTGGAGGGACAGGCAGAGAAGAACCTACTGAAATTCAACAAGGGCAAGTGCAGGGTCCTGTACCTGGGAAGGAATAACCCCAAGTACCAGTACAGGTTGGGCACTGACCTGCTGGAGAGCAGCTCTGTGGAGAAGGATCTGGGGGTCCTGGTGGACAACAAGCTGTCCATGAGTCAACAGTGTGCCCTCATGAACAAGAAGGCCAATGGAACCCTGGGATGCATTAGGAATAGCATTGTCAGCAGGTCGAGGGAGGTGATCCTGCCCCTGTACTCAGCACTTGTGAGGTCACACCTGAAGTCTTGTGTCCAGTTCTGGGCTCCTCAGGACAAGAGAGACATGGAGCTCCTGGAGCAGATCCAGCAAAGGGCAACAAAGGTGATTAAGGGACTGGAGCACCTCACTTACAAGGAAAAGCTGAGGGATTTGGGCCAGTTCAGTCTCAAGAAGAGAAGACTGAGAGGCAACCTCATTAACGATTGTAAGTATCTGAAGAGAAGGTGCCAAGAAGATGGAGCCAGGCTCTTCTCAGTGGTGCCAACCCATAGGGCTACAGGCAACATCAGAGGGCAACAAAGGTGATTAAGGGACTGGAGCACCTCACTTACAAGGAAAAGCTGAGGGATTTGGGCCAGTTCAGTCTCAAGAAGAGAAGACTGAGAGGCAACCTCATTAACGATTGTAAGTATCTGAAGAGAAGGTGCCAAGAAGATGGAGCCAGGCTCTTCTCAGTGGTGCCAACCCATAGGGCTACAGGCAACATCAGAAACTGAAGCACAGGAAGTTCCATCTTGAGGAAGAAAAGAACCTCTTTACTGTGCAGGTGACCACACACTGGAACAGATTGCCCTGAGAAGTTGTGGATTCTCCCTCACTGGAGATATTCAAGAACAATCTGGATGCAATCCTGAGCCATGTGCTCTAGGATAGCCCTGCTTGAGCAGGAAGGTTGGACCAGATGACCCACTGTGGACCCTTCCAACCTGACTGATCCTATGACTCTGTGAAAACCAGGGATCTGGCTGTTTTGGACCTAATATTATTTTTATTTATGCATTAATTTGCAGCTAATTACATTGCTGGAGCCAGAGATGATTTGCACACATATAACCAAGATCTAGACCAGGTGCTTGATCTCGAGTGGGTTTTTTCAGTCTCCTGCTGATGTTCCACTGTGTTACAGATTCTAGTACTTTTGCTCTCACTGGCATGAGTCAGAGGATTTCCACTAAATTTACATGTGGGAACTGCTTCATGCCACACATGATCCTGTCATTCCAGCCTACACTTGTTTCTTAAGATGCTTTCCTTGCACTGTTATGTCAGTGAGTATTCACATGTTTTACTTTGCAAGGTTTAACTTGGGTGTATTACATTTTCTCCCAGAGGAATCTTTCTCTGACTGCAAAATGTAAATAACCCACAGACACCATACTCAAAAGTCTGGTACTTTCTTTAGGGGTTGGGAAGTTGTAAATACCTCTCCCTGCCACAGAGGATTTCAATGTGGCCACACTGAATCAGCCAGATGAGAGAGCTCTTGCTGATTGAGGGGTGACACTAGAGAATAGGCAGCTGTCCTCTCTGCTCTGCAGTCAACAGTATCATAAATATAATTTGTAGGGCTTGGCTGTAAGCACAGGTACATCTCACAGACATTTATATGGCCTGCAGTTTCTCATCTGTACAAATTATTTGTCCTCCTGGCAGGAGTCTTTTTTTTTCCTTTTTTTTTAAAGCTACTCCTGAAATCTGTTATATGTAACACTGTTAAGAGTCACAGGAGACAGCTGGGTACCTGGTGATCTATCCTTTCATATGGCAAAGTTTCTAAGCTTGGCCTTAGAAAACAAAATATTTTGCAAGGAACCATAAGAAAAACATGGGCTTTTTTTTATTTCCAGTGCAGAGAGGTGATAGACACAGTACAAAGCATTTCTGCTGACTAGACTCAAGACATGGCTGTGAGAGGCATGAAGCAACAACCATCTAGGTGATGCACAATCCTGCCATGACAGCTTGCTGAGTTACAAGTCCAAAGCATGGATTTTCTAACCTTTCAAGACATCAAGCTCAGCACTGGATGATGTGTAATGATGTCACTAATCTCTGAGGGAAGAGCCTTAATCCACAGTCTCGCAGAGCTGAACCAAACTGTGTGTCATGGAAGTTGGTAGGGCTTAGCCTTCAAATGGGGAAAGCTCTTCTATAGCTGTGGTATCACACAAGGTAAAAAAAAAACAAACCACAAAAAACTAACAAAAAAAAGCTAAACAACCTTCTGTTTTTGCTGTCCTCATCTATCAACATATATATATATAAATAGTTCATTGATTTGCCATTGGAAAGCTATGTGAAGTTCTCTCTCTCTCCCAGAGAGATTATCAGTCATATAGGACTCAGATTTGGGTTTATGTATGTAAAAAAATAACCACTGAGAAGACTTTAGGACCTTCTAATCCCATCTTCAGGAAGATATGCCTTTCTTTCCAGCCTCACTGTTGAGGTAGACTCTGTCAACAAAGTTTCACCTGCTCCTCTTTAAAAGAAAATATTTTTCTGGTGTGCAGTATTTAACTCACACTGAGCAGAGGTAAGGGCAGAGACCTGATGCAGCTCTGGGCCTCCTGGAAACAAGGTAAGAAGTTTGCTGGCAAGTGGTATGCTAAAAATTCCAGCAAAAGCAATTTCAGGTTGAAACAAGCACATCTGCCTTGCCAAAAAAACGTCTGAGAAACAAACTGTCCTCTTAAGGCTGCTTCCAGCTTCTCAGTCAGAATGTGCTGATTGCATTTTCTTTCTGGGTTTACAAAAGAAAGACAGTTAATTAAATTTATCTCGTTCAGATAATTCAGGAGTCCATGGTGAATATGCTTATGTACCAAACCACTGTGGAGCTCAAGTGCTCTCTTCTCTGGTTTTTGTATGTATATTTTGGGCTGTATACTAATTCTGTATCCTATCTGCAAATATAATCTCTATATGCATAACCGATTTCTTCCTTTGAGGCTTCGTTTATGTTGGAAAAATTAAGGTCTTTTATTCTACTACAGAATCTGAATATTTTATTCAAATTCAGTGATATGTTAAATAAATAAACTAATTTTATGTGGGATTTTTTCAAAGTTTTTTTTATTAATAGAGTTTAGGAAATGCTGGTAAATATGAAACAATATCAAACAGACTTAGAAAGAACACTGAAAACTGTTGTAAAATTGAGAACTGAAGCTGTAACCCTTTCTCTGGAAAGCAGGGATTGAAGAACTTCTCTTATGACCTTTTGGAGACAGACTACATCCTGCATTCAGTATAGCATTGAATACTGGGATACAAATAACCATTAAAACTACATCTTCTTATTAAATCCAAATGTTATATGTACTGCAAAGCATATCCTCCATTTGTCCTTACATTTGGGTAGAAGTTGCATTTTCCAATAAATCTGAGTATTTCTATTTGCCTTTTATATGAATATCACATTAATCTATCAAATGAAAGCTGGGGCCAAGAATACTTCCATTAGCATCTATCCCAGCAGCCAAATTTTAATGTGCATATTAGAAAAATGGACAGCTTCTGCATCATTTCTTGCATGTCTGTACACTGGTCTGGCTAACCTTGAAACAGTATCCTTTCACTTAAAGGAATGGGATGGTATTGAGCTATCTGGTAAATCACTGTTACTATAGATTTTTCCTTTGCTACGTGATTTTGTTTTTTCTTTAACTAGACATGACAGAGCAAATTCATCCCCAATTGAAATCGATTCAATTGGTGTAATATCAAGGATAAGTTTCATCCCTGTTGGTTTCAGTTACACCATGAACAATGTCTTGCCTGCAGCTCAGCACTGGACTGACACTGGTTGCTAAAATCATCTTAAGAAGGGCAGTGTTTCCTTGGACTGTGTTGCCTCTAGTTTTCCACTCATAAATTTGAGAGAAATGCTTCAAGTGTGGGACCCATTTTAAATTTACAAGTGAAAAATCACTTCCAGGCTTTGTTCTGGAGAACTCAATCAACTCTGCCCGTGTTATTCAAACCACCCTACCAGGCAGAGACCCTTCCCTAGTGAGACCTGCTCTTCCCTGAAAACAATAGCAGTTTTTCCAAGGTCTGGACTTTTATTTCTAAAACATTACAATGTCTTCAGGCCACACTGAGATTTTAATTGTGGTCCCGTGGTGAGGCTCTGAAGTTCCAGCTGGGAACAGTTCCCTGAGCCCATTTACCTGACCTTTGCAGGGATCAAACCTCTGCAATTTGTATATGAAAATCCTTCTCATTTGCTACTACTGCTGGCCAAAATAGTGATGCACCTATGCACTCAGCAATCTGGATCTTCAAAAGGTCAGTGAGAAGTTTGTGGGTATAACAAAGCTCCTTAAAGACATCAAACCCCTCACACACTGCTAGGACTCTAAGGCATGGTCTACACCTGTAAAAGCCCAAAGATCTCAGAAGGAGAATACACATCAAGGGAAATAAATGGTGTAGTAACATTTTGGTATCTAACAGCCTCATCTTTGCC